TAGTTTTCTCAGGATTCCAAAAAAAATGAATGCATTTAAAAATTTAAATTTTTGTAAACAAGTAACTATGATTGTTTAAAAGTAGTTTTAAGTAAGAGAGTACCTACATAAACAAACATAATGGCTATTATCGTTTATGTGTATATTTATTGAAGTGAAAGAAACTAATGATTTATTTATTATAACTTGAAAAATAAACTAAATAATACAAATAGTAACTCGTACTTACATTTACATTACACGTTATTATTAAATCGCGAATAGTCTAAATTGACATTCAAAAACATAAGTTTTTCAACTTTACTTCTTATTAACCGTCTTCTTATTTTTCAAGTTATAAGAAATATATCCTTCGTTAGGTTCTTTCACTTCAATACTTATACACATAAATGATAATAGCCAATATGTTTGTGTACTCGCTAATTTGAATACTGGTAAACAATCAACTAGTTACAGTTTACGAAAAAGGGTTCCGATAAAAATTTAAAAAACGAGAGGATCCACCTCTAGTTTTTTAGGTATATTAGGATAGGAACCAGAGAATATGTAAAATATCTCTGATCGGAACTATTCGTTTCACGAATGAGCAATGAGTGTTAAAAATATTTATGGAGGGGAGACCAAGGGGAAATATGATTGTTATCTTTGTCTATTCGCTGAAAATATGATTTTATATCTGCGTTAGATATCCTGTTAAATTTTACCATACCGACCATAAACTTTTACCTACACTGTATATGTAAATAATACCAAACTTGAGCAAGTTTATAAAATCGTTTACCTTGGACAGCAATTAAATTGTAACGCTAGGATAGAGCAGGCTAGAGCTGCTTTTCGAAAAATGTCCAAGGTGTTATCTAACAGAGACGTAAAATTGGCATTAAGGATCCACCTACTTCGCTGCTACGTGTTCTTGGTCTTTTATGGTTTATGGTGTCGAGTCCTGGACTAAGAATAAAATCGATCTAACTCGCCTTGAGGCTTTCGAAAGATGGTGCTATAGAAGAATTTTAAAAGTTTCCTGGGTGGAGAAGATTCGAAAATCAACAACACTAGAACGTCTCAGCAAAGACTACTGAGATCATAAAAAGCATCAAGCAGAGATAGCTAAAGTATTTCGGACATGTAATGAGAGGTTCCAAATATAGGTTGCTTTAAAATATCATGCAAGGAAAAATAGCAGGCAAACGCAGTCCAGGACAAAGAAGAACCTCATGGTTGAAGAACTTGCGAGATTGATATGGTGTTAATACAAGCATGCTATTTAGGGTAGCAGTGAATAAAATTCAGATAGCTATGATCGTAACCATCGTTCTAAAAGGACATGGTACATCAAGAAGAAGATTCTACAATTATTAATATCTTGTTTTATGGCCCACATCTCGATACTATCAAATGCCTTTTCATAGTCTACGAAGGCAAAAAACACGGGCAGTTGGTACTCGTTTACCTTCTCTATCAGTGTTCTCATTGTCAGCAGATGGTCTGATGTACTGTATCCTTTGCGAAAGCCAGCTTGTTCAACCGGCTGGTAATCATGCATTTTGTAAGTTAAGGGATTGTTAATAACTCTCATAAATATTTTGTATAATTGACTGAGTAACGATATAGGTCTATAATTCTTTAGGTTACATTTGTTCCCTTTTTGTGAAACTCTCGTTTCAGTCTTTAGGGATTTTGCTAATATGGAGACATCTATTAAATACCCCTATTAGTATGGAGATTGTTACTATCTTGCTTGTTTTTAAGAGTTCGGCAATTATACTGTCGTGTCCTGGAGCTTTATTATTTTTTTAGCTGTTTTAAAGCTTTTTTTAATTTCAGATCCCTATATATTTAGTACTGACTGATCCTTCAAGCAAAAAGACAAAAGAGGGAATCTAATCCTTATGAAAAGGAGACCAAAAAAGTGGCCTCTGATGGCGGACATATCCGGAAATGCGAATGCGCCAAATTTAAATTTTCCGACACTTATTAACAGAAGCTATATAATATTTTTCAGAATGTGTCTTAGACGAGAAAGTTTTAATTAATTATTAACGGTAATAGTCTAAAATGCGACACAATTGTTAAACAACTTCAATATAAATAAGCTTTCATGTGACATTTGGGACAAACAATAACATAACCCAACTAAATTTGATGTCAAACAAGGAGAGAGACTCTCTTTGCTTGTTTAATGTGGCCTCTAAAGATCGCACTTCCTGTCTAACAATATTTTTGCCCCCACTATCTTTACATTCCCTCTTTTGTCTTTTTGCTCGATAGACTGATCCCACGTCCATTATTTTTCTTTTGTCGTTATCCATTGTTGATTCATTAAGCTGGCTTTGCGAGCTGTACAAGGTTTTGTAGAAGTCTTAGAATATCTTTGTTATTTTATATTTGTTCTTCTCTTTATTATTATATATTGCTTAAGTATAACAAAATTTTATATTTGTTAGATGTTTGGTGATCGTTTATTCATTTCTGGTGTCGAAATCGCCGCAAAGCTACAAGCTAAAGCTAATAAAGAATCAGTTTATGTATATTTCTTCAATTATGATCAAAGTACTACTCGATTAGCTGATTTTTTCTGCCCACAAAAGAAAATTAGTGGTAAGTACGCAAAATATTATTGAACATTGAAGCAAACCACTAGTTCTTAGTGCTGAATGATATCACTGGATCAGTTACAGATTTTAAAAAAGCTTCCTTTTCTTGGAATTTTTTTTATATAATTTTTTATTATTATAATCTTAACTACACTGTCTACGGTTTTGTTTGGTGTATGCAAAAACGTAGGTTTTACCCGTAGTATAAGTTCTTTTTCTCAATTTTCGCTAGTCAGCTTATTTTAAATTGAAGTATTTTCTTTTTAAATTATAACAATTATCACCATTTTAAATTTAAGGTGTTGCCCATTGTCAGGATACTGTGTTTGCATATGGATGTTTCATATTTCATCAATTAAGCGAAAGTGACAAAAATATGAAGAAAATATTTAATACTTTTATGACTTCGTTTATTAGTAACGGGTAAGTAAAATAGTAGTCGTAAGCAAAAATGATTATACTGACTTCTCGGTCGATTTATATTTGTATATCACAATCTATGCCTAAGAAGAGTGGCAAGTTCAATTAAATTACTATTTAACAGTCCACTTTTACATAAATTGACAAATTTTTACAGTTGAATTCGGCTTTTTTATATACCAACTACACGTCTATGCTTTTGAGGTCTTCCAATGCTTCTTCTTCCGCCTTCGTTGGGTATTCTAGGGGTTATTGGGGATTATAGGATTCTCTGTGTCCACCTATTATCATATCTGGCTATGAAACCCAGCGCTATTTCGTTTTAATTATTGTTTCTGTATATCCCTTTCCGTTTTACGTCTTACCTCGGTGTTCTTAATCTTGCCTCGTAATGATATTCCAAGCATGTTTATGTCTGTACCCTTTGCGTTATTTCCAGGGTTTTAGAAGAGATTTTCTGGTGGGGTCTACGGTCTCTAACTCGTAGTTTCAGGCTTATAGTATGCATGTGTTATATAGGTACCTTTTTCTGGAAGTTTATATTAATGAAGGAGTTTTTGGGGAGGTAGATTTGTAGTAAACATTCCATTCAAAGGTGATCCTTCTTGATCACTTGAACAATCTCCAGATCGTGGGGCCTATGATACAAAATATTCTCATCTCTATTCTAATTCATTTTTGCAAACATTAAGTATCTGCAGTGATATTGAAAACATGTACCGCTTCTTTGGAATACGAGCATTAAAACAGGTAGCTATTGATCACAAAACAGAATATTCATCTGCTAGTAATGCTATTTTAAATTACTTCTATGTCGATGATTTTCAATCTGGCTCGAAGGACCAAACTTTATGTGCAAGAAACTATTTACTGGATTGTGGAAGATATTTATTTATACATAGGTCGATTGATTATTTCAATTTACGCTATACAAGTATGTATATCAAATACATAAAATTGAGAATGTCTGTGTGTTGATTGCCGCTTTGCCGGTCGCTTTCGTTGATAATTTTTCGACTGTTCTAACAACCATTCAAATTTCGTCATTTTCTGTCATGTGGAACAATTTCATCCAATCATGTCAACATTAGATTGATAATTGCATTCAGTGCAATTTTCAATCCCTATGACAACACGATCGAGTTTGCCAACTTCATCCAAATAAATTTCAAAATGTCACGTTTTGGCAATGAGAATGTTCAAAGTATAAATGCGCTAATCAAAGAAAAAATTCGAACGAATCTAATGTTAACTTAAATTTTAATAATTGTACTTTCACTAACTGTACTTTTAATAAATAAATGTTTCGTTATGTTGAGTTATGATTTTTTTTTTCGAAAAATTATCCACCGAATATCTCTTGGACATTGATACATGCCTCATAATTTCATGATAAATTTCTCAAGCTCGTTGCTTGGTAACAGCACTCAGCCTTCGGCTTCGTGCTGTTACCAAGGAACGAGCTTTCGATTGTCATGAAATTATCTCGTCTGTTATCAATGTCCTAGGGATATTGCTACTGATAATTTTTGGCTATCATTACTCCGTTACACTCGGTGCGTATGTGCACGCTATTAAACCTAAATATATTCTAGTTTATTAAAAGCAGCCCATGCCAGTCATGTTTTTATTTTAACTTCAGCTTAATATTCCCAGTAAAATTCCCAGAACATCATTATTCTCATTTATTTAAGCTCCAAGATATTTATATTCATGTACACGTCATCACTCACATTTTGGCCATCAGTAATAAATTGAACATTATTATTTAACTTATTGGTGAAGATTAGAAACTTCTTTTTATCTAAAATCATATTTAAGCCATAATGTAAACTTATCGTATAACCTTTTTGAACTATTCCCTACAAATCTTTAATATTTTCTGCCATATTACCATGCATACCGCATACCTCAAGTTATTAATGGAGATTTCATTTACTACAACTCAGACTGTTTCATTGTGCTATAGTAGAAGCCACAGTTAGAATGCAGTACAGGTAAGATAGGCAATGTATTTCTTATGAGAGAACGGCTGACCACGTTGATGGTTTGCTCCCAACGACGCATCAGAACCGGATTTAAGTATCATGGAACTAGAATATACGCGCACACAACACTTGCCTAAAGTTGTTTAAAATACTATCATTATTGTTTCAACTAGAGCTTGATTCAATTATCGATGTATAAATAAGAGAGTTCCATAGTCGAACTAAACAATAAATAAAGTGAAGAAGAAAAATATTATAAAAACAAGTAAAATATATCAAAAACTCTTTATTTATTAAAATGGTTTGTAACCTTTTTTTTGTTCCAGGAATCCAACTATCGCCGAGAACTTGGAATGGTTACCAACCAAAGGAAACAATCTGTCGTTTTTAAATATTACCAACTTTGACAATATTAAAATGGATACAGCAGCTTCTTTATATCCTACAGATGTCTGGTCTGAATTAATTGAATCTGAGTTCCAGAATTAGAATGTCCAAAAGAAGACAACACAAAGGAAATACAAATATAATTACAGTTTTGTGTTATATGTGATTGTTATTAAATAGTTTTAAACAGTTCTCAAAGATAATAATATAAATTGAATATTATGCTGACTATAGCCTTTTTTCCAAGTCTAGTTGTATTTTTGTGATATAAACTATTTAAATTAAAAAAAAATTACATTAATATAAAAACTTTATCGGGATATACTGCAGAACGTTTTCAGAGTAACTATTCCATCATCAGTACTATCCTAAAATAAGTTTAACCACGTTAGTTAAATCAAATGTAAAAGTTAAAATTTTGACCAAGGTTATTACAAAAGTGTGGTTAATACTTAGGGCAGAGGGGGCACATGTAAACAAATTTCAAAAAAAAATTTATACCGCAAAATGAGATTCATTGTAAAGTATCGGCTTCTTCAATGTAAGATTCACATATTTGTGAGTCTTTGTGTACATTTAAATTTGACAGTAATTAAAGTATTTAGGTCACGTGCATTAAATTCCAAGTAGATGTAATTAGTCCACATGTACCAAATTTAATGAGAACACAATCCCCTTTCTGGATATTAGTAAGATCCAATTCAAAATCTTTACCATTTTTAGTTTTATCTTCCATAAGACTATCATCGGATTCTTCGCAATAATTCTCAAATTTGCTTTCTAATGACTCCTTATCAAAAACTTTGCGAATATGGGGGACTTTTTCTTTTTTCTAAATTGCTTGCCTTTCTTTCCCGAGTCCGTTTCTCTTTTTCCTTCACCTTCTGGTGTAGCGGTCAGAATGGTTAAAATTTTTTTTTCTTGTTTTCTTAGAACTTATTCTCATTGCCTTTGGGTATGGACGAATTTGTCCTGGAGTAAGTTTTACATCGGAAATAATTACAATTTTGGAACTTTGTTTTTCGGTAATTAAAACAAGTTGACAATTATTGTTGACTTGTGGTTGAACATTTGCCGATGATAATATAGAAGGCATTTCTGAATTAGAGAGTGTACTACAATTTAGATAATCGTCAGTTGTGGCATCTCGCTGCGATACATCACTGACTTTCGTAACTTCAGCTCCTACGAAATCTTCTGAGGAAAAGGTGTTTTTATTTTGTGTTTAAAAACCCAGAAATAATGTTTTTTTCTATTAAATGCTTCGTCAAAGGCTGGAGCTGTTAGATGTGAAATGTCATAAATTTTTATAGCTTTTCATGGATGTGTAGATATTTATAAGTTGAATGCTACACGACAACGACCCTTAAAAGGGCCAAATATACACACATCTAGAGGCTACAAACGAAGTGTTGTGTGTAGAGGAAACATTCAAAATTACTAAACCATTTTCCTTGCAATACAATATAACATCTAACGTTGCATGTGTATTATGGTTATCCAAAAGTATTAACACAGGGTTTTTCTTAGAAGGATGCATGTATTTCTTTAATATGCCTTACAACTTCGAGAAATCCTTCGGCGTTGGTCATCCAATCATTTCGAGAAGCAATATCAATGCTGCCTTCTGGAGCTCCAGTCACGAATGACTCTTTAAATCGCACTCGTGGGAGGATATAAACAGGTGGAATTGCATTTCTATTGGCAATGATTATTCCAACAAACGTCACTTGCTCACCTTTCTCTACCCCATCTGCTTGTCCCACTAGCTTACAATCCTTATTTGCGACCCCTTTGGGATTTGCAGAACAGTGTTCACTCCGGTTTCATCTACGTTCACGATTCTGTCCACTTGTTCCCCTGTATGGTATCCACATCTGCCTCGTATGTATAGTTTTTCTAAAGTACCGGATAGGTATCTGTTTTTAGGTTATGACTAAAACAAAACTGTAGAAACTTACCTGATGTCAAATGTGACAATATTTAAAATATGATCAATTTACGAGGAAACACAGAATGTCACTAAATAATATTATAATATCTAAAAACTGTTTATTTTTTTTTTCGCGGAAAAAGTATCACAACCTCGTGACACAAACAAATGACAACTGACATTGAATTTATTTCTTGGCTTAAAACCATGATACTATAACAAACAAGATATGCTCACTTGCTGTTCTAATTTTGATCGACTTTGCGCATGGCGTCATGGCGAGACAAAGCCAGGGGACTTGTATGTATCATATTTTAACGATGCATCATATGGCAACGTTGTTCCATTACTGTAATGAACAACTTCAAAACTGAAACTGTAAACGGTAAGTATACCTCGATGCCATATCTTACACTAAGAAGTCATAACTAGTTACTTTCTGTGAAAACGTGTTTTGAAAATTAATAAGTAATTTGTAGAATTAATTAAAGAAATATATGAATTTAGGATTTGATTGTGTGTATTACAAACAAAATAAATATTGCTACAAAACATAATTTAAATATAAAAGGCCATCAAAATGCAAAGGCGGCATCTGAGAGTGGGCATTCTGAATGTATATTATTCTGTGGTATTACTTTAAGTCTATTAAAATGGGCATTAGTATATATTATAATCTATAGAAACATTTATTATTATGCATAGAAACATTTGCTCTGCTGTTATTAATATTGATATAACAATTCTCTTCTGTTATTAATAATAATACATTTTATTTATATAACTAGAATTGCATCAAATGAAAAATTTCAATTTAATTTTTAAATTTTACTTGCTGTCATTAATTTTGTTAATTTGGCATTTTGACAAGTTGTCTAGGGCTTACTTCACAAGAACATGCGCGTTGACTTATCTTGTTTTGTAATAGTATCATGGCATAAAACTATATCACCAGTGCCACCTAGGAGAGTGAGTTGAAACCACTCGAAAAGAAATCTAGACGGAAAAAAATTAACTGTCCACTTGTGCCTCTGTTCCATCTCTGTTCACATGTGTCTCCCCTTCCCCTATTGGATGTACATGGTACATGTTTGAAGCCACTAAATATGTGGGTAAATAAAAGTAGGTTGATTGACTTTGAGTTACATATTTGATATTTAAAAACTATAATGTTTACAAAGGAATTTTAGTTACAAAAGGAATTGATCACATGACAACGTAAGACTCCACTGGGGTTGCCAGTCCTTATACGAAGTGTCTGCGAGGACTTGATAGGAGGACTTGTTGATAGCAACTGATTATATTGACATATTAGGACGGAAGTTTGAACAAGGCAGTTAATGTAACCGGATGTATGTGTCTAAATGTAACAGTAGTTACATTTATGGAGATGTAGTGATTGATTCTAACAGTAGCGACCATCAATATGTTGGAATTTAGAGTATGAATTACCCTGAAAGTTTGTTGGAAAAGTTGTAAATTGGATATTATTGTAGGTAGATGAAAGGTTAATAAAAGTTTTGAATGTAGGTAGGCAACCAACTATACAGATATCTGTTTTTTCAACATTTGGTACTTGGAATATCGAAAGCAGATATGTGTAGGAAGTTGGATTTTTTTTTAAAATTTTAATTATTCCAGAGTAAAATATTAATTGATGTATTTGAGTCTGTTATTGATATAGATGGTGAACAGAATAATTTATGTTGTGTACTATTGGTATATTTGTTTACTTACGTAGAAAAAGGCCCTACATGTTAAAGACAACATTTGGTAACTGAGAAATATAAGGTGTGTAAGTTATAAGTTCATGAACGTAAGTTGGATGGAGAGAGTTAATTAAATATTATTGTGTGTTAACGGAATATGGAAAATCAACAAAATTGATGGGTGCAGGGTTTCTGTTTGACTCAAGTTAAAATAGGTGATGTTTTGTTGTTATTGTGAGCCGATAAAAGACTGGATGAGAGACTGAGATCTCCAGAGGTCCGAAACTATAACCTAAAGATCGCATGTCTAGATAGGGGAAATGAAGTATACTGTAAAGAAAATTGGAGGAGAATGATGATCTTAGTTAAATCAGTTGTGTTAAAAAGGGTGTGGACGTTACTGTAATATTGTGAATATATATTTATTATTACAGAGTGAAATGTTAATTGATGTATGTAAGTGTGTATGTGATATAGAAAGTGATCAGAATGATTGATGTAAAATACGGCTAGTAGATATATTACTTAACTTATAACTTAAGTAAAATGGCCCTGCATATTAAAACACAAAATTTGTTATCTGAAAAATATAAGGTGTTTAAGTTATAAGTTATGAATGTTAGATGGCAAGCGTTACTTAAAAATTAGTGTGTGTTGACAAAATATGGAAAACTAACAAAATTGATGGGTACAGAGTGAATCTACGAGGGTGGATTGATATAAAACTAGCCGTTGATAGGAAAAAACTAGTTTTTTGGAATTAAATCGATTTATTTCTCAATATAATCCCCTTTTAGCTCGATACACTTAGTAAGACGATGTTCCAATTTTTTTATCCCATCCGAATAGTACTTTTGCCGAAGTTTCAGCGACAACTTCATCATTTGTTGCGAAACGGCGTCCTTCAAGCCATTTTTTAGGTTTGGAAACAGGAAAAAATTGCTGGCGGCAAGATCTGGGGAATACGGTGGGTGTTCAACCAATTCATAGCCCAATTTGTAATTTTGCCATGGCGACGGCCGATCTGTGAGATGTTGGTGAAAGAACTATTTTTTGCGTTCCAAACCGGAGCGTTTTCGTCGCAATTCGGTATCGAATCGATCCAATAATGCTGCGTAATACTCACCATTGATTGTTTTTCCTTTTTCCAAGTAGTCGACTGTTTATGCCACTGTTTCGACTGTTGTTTGGTTTCCGGTGTGTAATAATGCACCCAGAAATCCTTCGGATCGCGCCGTACCATCGCCAAATGCGTCACCGAAGTGGTCACACGTTTTTGCATTTGATCGATTGTCAGAAAACGCGGCACCCATCGCATGGATAGCTTTTTCATGTCCAAATGACAGTAAATGATGTTGTGTACGCATTCGTAAGAAATATTTAGGACTTCTAGTAACTCGCGGAGCTTAATTCGACGATCTGCCATAATCATATCATGAACTTTGTTGATTATGTCCGCC